CACTGACAAATGCATCTTCTTTATGTTGCCTGGGTCAGGGGTGCCTGGGTGGCTCAGTCAGTTGAGCGTCCAACTCTTGATTTTGGCTCAGGTCATGATATCGGGGTCCTGGGATCAAGCCCTGCATCAGGCTCCACGCTGAACTGGGACTCTGCTTCGGGATTCTCCCCCCGCCCCGCCCCCCCTCGCCTCCCTGCTCTATGTTGCCCAGGTTAGAAATGAACACCTCTTTGTGAAATAAATATTCATGGTTTATTTTCAGCCAATTTCAGGAAAATTTCATGAGCCCAATGGGGGTTAAAAGACAAAATATTTGAGTGAGAGACAAGAGACCTGAAACCATCACTAACTAATCCTATAACCTTGGGCATATACCTATTCTTCAGTTTTCCCATCTGTATGGTGATGGTAATAATACCAGTTCTGTTTGTGTTGAGTTGTTTGGGAATTAAATGAAATAGCAAATGGACGCACGCTGAGCAATGCAAAATGCTAGCACAGGGGTAGTATTCTGGTTGAGCTGGTGAGAGCCTGGACTCTGGGGTCAGACTGCCTGGGTTCAAGACCAGTGCTTCTCCTGGCCTGCCTAAGTGACCTGAAGCACATTATGAACTCTCTCTGATGCAGGTTTTGCTCATCTGAGATTTGAGAGTAGGAATGGTACCTGCTTGTCAGGCTGCTCTGAGAATTAAATGAAGTAAGGCACTGTTTGAGGAGTGCCAGGCAAACATTAAGAACTCCATATGCTACTATTATTTGGATACCTTTCATTTGGTTTTTAAACACATACTTCCCAGATTCTGGACGTAGGCCATACAGATGTACACATATAAACAAAGTTAGTGGTGCATCCCTTGTCCTTATACGTAACAGTGCTCGGACTAGAGGCGATGGCTGCATAGAAGTGTCCCAGAGAAGAAAGTTTCTGGACAGAATTACTCGTCAGACCTTTTCTGGGCATCTTGTAAGTGGCAGGTGCCGAGAGTGTGAAAATAAGTAAGATGTGGTGTTTGCTCTCTCCGAGATCACAAGGACGTGGGGCAGGGAGAGACAGAGTAGAATGTGCTGTGAGTACTCCGATGGAGCTGTGGATGGTACATGCCAGGATGGAGGGGGAGCCAGGGGAGACCCTGGATAGACCAGGGGAGTCTCAGGGGGAGGTGGGAACAGGTGCTCAGCAGGTGCAGAGGAACCTTGACTTACTGCTCAGAAAGCTTCATGCTATTGAGTTGCATCTTGGAGAATGAATAGGCATTTTCCAGAAGGAAGCTGTGGAGAAGGGCATCCCACTGACCTGCCCTCCTTCTGTAGGGTTGTTGCTGCCACTTGGATTTCCAGTGAGGGCCATGCTAGGGTTTCTGAGTTATTTCAAGTGTCTTAGGGTCTTTTGTGCAAAAAAATAGTCCTTCTGGGCCTGTCATGGAGCTCTCCTTTCACTCCAGTGGGGTTTAAAGCTGTGTTGGCCAATATGGTAGCCACTCCACATATGTGGCTCTTTACACCAAAACTAATTAAAATTAAATAAAACTAAAGGTTGAGTCCCTCAGTAACACTAGCTACATTTCAGGTCCTCAATAGCCACATGTGACTAATGGCCTCCACATGGCCAGCCCAGGCATTTCCATTGCCACAGAAAATTCTGTTGGATAGCACTGTCCTGGTGCGTGCCCTGGCATCGTGCAGAGAAAGGAGTGGGACATTTCTCCCTGCTCCCTCTCAACTCCTGCTGTTGTGAACCTCCAGGCTGGGTGGTCAGGCTCCCAGGGGTTGTAGCCAGCTCTGCCCCGGGCTCTTCAAGAGCCAGAAGCAGTCCAGTAAGACTTCACGCAGTGACATCTGCTTCCTTCTGGACTGTAGTAGTTCTGGCACTGCTGCCCAGATTCCGCTTAAAATAGAGCGGGGCTGGGGGAGGATCTGGCTCATTTCAAAAATTGACGAAATAAAAGAAAGCTTTTTATTTACCCCTCATCACTAGCACAGAAATCCTGTTGTGCACTCACACAGGCTTAGAGTATGTGTTAAGAGAGCTGGTCAGAGGGAGGTTGCCTGGAGGCGTCCCTGCCCTTAGGGAGCTGGATGAAGGCCACTGCTTCAGAATTCTTAGAGTCATGCACCAGGGTAAGGAGATTGCCCAAGTTCACAGCGATTAATATCAGACACTGGATTCGGCCTTTGCAGTCAGGGACTCTCTCTGCAGGCAGACAAAGCTCACTGCTTGGCAGCAGTCATAGCCAGGCCTCTCTTCCTTCGATGGAATCATGACAAATTGTACATGGACAAGTATCATCAGATGAGCCAAAAGAGTGTGCTCTTCCGGAATGATAATCCTGTTGTAAAGCAAAAGGAACAAAGCGTGGTCTCCACAGCACTTCACTTCTGAACCTGCCTTCAGAACCATTGTGTTCGAGTCTCCATTATGATTTGCCACAAAATCATTTTATTGGGTTCTGGTGTCTCTGGAGATTACACAGTGCCAAGATCTGTGTGTAATGGGTAATAATTACAGTTTGAGAGGCTTTCGGGAAGTTTGGTTTACAGCTACTATCTGACCTGATTTTAGGAGGAATTTAACCTAACTTAGCCCAGGTTCAGTTATAATTTTCCAGAATAGCTTTCATTTTAGGAACCTAAATCCATCTGGATAACATGCTGATGTTATAAATTATAACATCTACCCCATCTGTTGAAGTAACTTGGAGTTTCAGAGTTAGGTTGTTGGTAAGTCTGGAAGGAGAGAGAAATCTTTTTTCCAGAATGCTGCTTCTCCTTCACTCACCTCTGAAGGGTAGTTTCAGTGTCCGTGAAAAATATCCCTGGTTTCATAGACAATCAAATACAGAGTCTTGAAACTTCAGTCATGTTTAGTCCCTGGGTAGGCTGGTTACCTGTTGCCTTGTTTCAGATTATGGTTGTCATCTGTAATTTATCAGTAGGATCAGGTGTGTTTAAAAAGGTAGACTAGACCAACAGAAGCAGCAGTCCGTATCTGTTGGAGCTTACAGGGGCATCACTTGAGCACCTGAAGTGGACAGTGCCGCAGCTGACCCAAGAGCCTCGCTCACTGTCAGTGGTGCCTGCAGTTTCCATTGGCTTGGGTCTCATCAAGGAAAGGGCAGAAAGGTAACCGGAGGTGATAGAGATAATGCGCAGGCATCAGTAACCTTGCTGGGCCTCGATGCCGTAGAGCTGGAGGCCCTAGAAGAGAGGCCATGACTCTTCCATTTCAGGGATATTGCCTATCTGTGAGTGGGGGGATCTGCCAAGCCTTTGCAACACCCCCAGTTCTTATCCTGGTGTTTCACTGGGGTTGAGCCTCACGGGGGTTGAGCACTGTGACTCTGAGGTGCAGGCTCTGGGGCCTCCTGAAAGGTACATGGGAGAAGAGAAGACAGAGGGCTGGTTGGTTGGTCTTGGCTAGGAGGGAATGGGTGATTTTTTAGTCCCCCCCCTTATTAAAGGTCTACTTATAAAAAAGAAAAGAGAGATGCTTTTAAAAACACGATTTATTTATTTGAGAGAGAGCGCAGGTGGTAGAGCAGGGGGTAGGGGCAGAGGGAGAGGGAGAGAGAATCTTAAGCAGATTCCACACTAAGCACAGAGTCCAGTGTGGGGCTCGATCTCATGACCCTGAGATCACGACCTGAGCTGAAATCAAGAATGAGACGCTCAACCGACTGCACCACCCAGGCGCCCCAGAAAGCAGCGATGCTTTTATTTGATGTCATGCTCTGGATAATTAGGGTTCAATTCTCAATTAACTTTACTAATAACAAGACTAACGGGCTATAATAATCCATCCATTGCCTTTTCACCAGGAGGGTTTTTTTGAGAGGTTCCCTAATAATAAGATACAGAGTTTCACTATGGAGCTAACCGTGGAACAGGAGAAGTAAGTAAGAGCTTCTATCTGCCGAGGTGAAAGGGGTCACTGGGAGAATGCCGCTCCTCCTCCCAAATCCGAGCCCGCTGATTAGGTGAATGACTTCACCATCTCTCCAAGATGTGTTTGTGCACTCTCCATATGTCTCACAACATCACTGATTCATCTGATGAACTACAATAGGAATAAGAAGGGAAATTGGGAATATGAGTCAAACTTCATGAGTTTGGACTAGTTGGGGAAAAGGCTGGTCTGAATTAGTATGAATTCATGAGGCCTCTAAAGTATATATACATATAAAACTTCATATAAATGAAGCTTTATTTTGAATATATGTGAAGACAAACATATAGAAAAATATAAATATATGAGCATATGTATATCCACATATACATATGTGTATATACTTTTATTCCTTTAAATGCCACTGAAGCATCATTTAGGAGTAACTACAGTAGAAAGACTTATAAACCTGGGTCCCTCCTGGTTCTGTTACTAACTTGCTGACTCCTAGACCAGGCTCCTCAGCTCAGCACTACTGATATTGGGGCTGGATGATTCTTTGTAGTGCGAAGCTATCCTACGCATTGTAGGATGTTTAGCAGCATCCCTGGCCTCTACGCACCAGATACCCATAGGATCCTCTGCCCCTGACAACCAAAAATGTCTCCCAGAGATTTCCAGACATTGTCCTGGTGGAGAACCACTGTTTAAGACCATGTAGGAACATGCTCCAGGCCACAGAGTCCTCATCAATAAACCGAGGAGGACACCTTCCAGTCCCCTCCCAGATCGAACGCTTCCAGGACGCCTGTAAAGGGTCCTACCAGACTCAGAAGCCACCTAACACCTGTGGTGTTATAACCGGGTGCACAGGTGGAAACGTATTCTGAAGGTTAAACACTGACGCTCTCATTTATATTATCCATTGGCTGTTGTCACCTACCCCGCTTGCCCGGTGACCGAATGCCAGATGAGTGATACTGTACTGCATTCTGAAGAAGTCCAAAATGGACTGGAAGTTGCTCTTACTTTTTACTAAACTTTATCCACGCAGCTATATAACTGAAGACAGTTCTGGAAATGATTTGGCTGAAATACCTGCTTTTCTTTCCTGCAGGGATTCTGACATTAAAGAGAGCAAATGAACTTCTGAGCACATGCGTGCCGGGCAGTTTTCTGATCCGTGTCAGTGAAAGGATCAAAGGCTATGCCCTGTCCTATCTGTCTGAGGATGGCTGTAAGCATTTCCTCATAGATGCCTCTACGGACTCCTACAGCTTCCTGGGCGTGGACCGGCTGCGGCACACCACCCTGGCAGCGCTGGTGGACTATCACAAGGTGAACCGGTGTCCAGGCTGAATTTGCTCTGTGAATGGTTGTCCTGCAGCAGCTTTGGCAATGAAAGGCAATTACAAGAAGAAAGATTGAGATGAGTAACGGGGGGATTAGTCTTTGATAATTCTTACGGATAATCAGGATTCTAAATTACATTTCCTTTATCATTGAACCTAGTTCCTCCTCAGATACTCAGGGAGAAGGAGCTGGGGCAGAGAATGGAGGAGATGCTCAAAGTCTGTGCACACACTGATCGCATCTGAGACCACTCTTAGTGAGAACTCAAGCCCGGGAGGGAAAAAGAATATATGGCAATTTGCAGATGAGAAAATCTCTTTTAAGATTGCCATAACCCAATAAAGCTTCACGTAAATCAAGGGCAAACAAGAAGTTATGTACTCTGAGGAGGCAGGGAAGGGCATGACGTTCTTATTTCTACTGTCTTAACAACCTGCCCACCCACAGCCCAGCCTGATCTCTGCCTTCTGATTCACAGGAGGAACCCATAACTTCCCTGGGGAAAGAGCTCCTTCTCTACCCCTGCGGTCAGCAGGACGAGCCGCCCGACTACCTGGAGCTCTTTGAGTGACAGCCTCCATCGTGTCATCCTGCCCCTTCCAGCTGGGCTTTCCTCTGGGTAAACGCTGCTGAACTAGGCCTTTGTGTGAGAAGCCAAAGTTAGCCTGCAGCAGAGCCAACACTGATCAACGGTCAAGTGTCCTTGGAGCCCCGTGGAAATCTCTCTTCTGCACAAATGCTGGCATTTAACGTTAAGAGAAAATTACCTCTGCATCCTATTCACTCCAAAAGTAAAGGGAGATGATCCCCAATTTCAGCAACTACATGAAGGATACAACCGTAATGATGTATATAAAATGAACACAGAAGAAATTGAAACCTTTTAGGAATTAAGGCGTACTTCAAAAACCAGTAGCTCCTGTCAACTATTTTATGACCTCTACGCTCCCTCTTTGCATCATTTCGCAATGTCTCAGGATGGTGTTTGTGTTTAAGTTCCATGTTGGCTTTGGGGAACTGGCGGAAAAGGCTTCACTGGTGGTTGAACCAATGCTGCAAACACACTTCCTTTATTATGCATGTTGGAGCCAGGATGTAAGGAAGAGACATAGAAAAACAAGACTTGGGAATGTAAATCGAATGAGGAGTTAAAACTGAGGAGGAGAGGCTTACCGTGTCAGGAAATCCTCGGACGGTAGGGGAGTGAGCGAAGAGCTGTGAGCGTTTCCTTGTCCTGGAGGACAGCACAGGGCTCGCCCTGCGACCCTGGCTCGGTCGGAGAGCACCCCACGAAGGGTGAGGCCCGCGCACTCGCCAGGTGCGGACAGACCAGCGCGGAGAGCGAGCCGTTGCAGTACTGCTTGCTCTGGGTTGGATGGTGTCCCCAGGAAGATAGGTTGAAGTCCCAAACCCTGGTACCTGTGAATGTGGCCTTAGTTGGGAATAGGGTCTTTGCCGATGTGATCAAGTGAAGATGAGTTGCTACTGGATTCAGTGCACCCTCCATCCAAGGACAGGCGTCCTTCTAAGGGGAGAGGGCTTGGGAAACAGAGACCCGCAGAGGTGAGGCGGCCATGGGAAGCCAGGGAATGCCAAGGAGCGCTGGCCACCCCCACAAGCCAGGGTCCTCCCCGGAGCCTTAGAGGGGAATGTGGCCTTGCTGACATCTTGGTTTCAGACTTCGAGCCTCCAGAGCTGTAAGAGAATAAATTTCTGTTGTCTTAAGCCACTGAGTTTATGGTCATCTGTTACAGCCGCCCTCGCAAACTCACACAGAGGTTCGTGTCATGACAGAACCTGATGGGTGTTGTGTTCCATTTGTGGCTACACAGCCTACGCTCCTGAGAAGGAAGGAAGAGGGGAGAGGAGAGGAAGCTCCCCGCCGGCTCTGTTCCACTCTGGGATGCAGGTTTGCTCAGGCAGGAATCTTATGCCCACTGCATCCGCACCCCCCCCCGCCCCCGCCAGCAACTCTCGGGCCGGCCCGGCGAGGGGGACGCCTCTGGGCAGTGACCAAGAGTGCTCTGGGCCAGAGAGTCGTCCTCTGGGAAGATGGAGGCTGGCTTGTACGCCAGGCCTATCCCTGCCTCAGCAGGTTTTCAAAGGAGCAGACGTTGTGGCAGTTTATTCATGAGGTTGTTGGTTGTGTAACACACTCACAGACCCTGTAAAATGTAACCGGAGAAGAGGGTGGGGTACGTGTGTGTATGTGTGTGTATGGGTGCATGTGTGTGCTCTCATGAGAAAGTTTTTCAACACCGATCACTGTGAAGCATTTCCTGAAATGTCCCACGTGTTTCTATAGTCTGAACGACAACTGTCAATGAGACATTTGTCCAAGACGACCTGTCTTTAGCTGTCATTTCTAACTGTGATTCAACAGCCATGACATTTTAGAATTGCAAAGACCACACAGGACCCATATCTGCCCACCATTAGCTCTCTGAACTTCAGTTTTCACTTCTAATAAAAAAAGGTATTTTTTTAGTTGAGGTGTACTTGACATTTAACATTAAATTCGTTTCAGGTGTACAACATAATGATTTGACGTGTGAAATGTTTGACTGTGAAATGATCACCACTCTAAGTCTGTCATCCATCACCTTAAAAAGTCACGAAATTTTTTTTCTTCTGATAACTTTTAAGATCTACTAAGTTGCTAAGAGCAACTTTTAAATATGCACTCTAGCATTATCCACTATAGTCACCATGCTGTACATCCCCATGACTTATTTATTTTATAACTGCAAGTCTGTACCTCTTGACCCCCTTCACCCACTTTGCCCACCACCCCAACCCTCCTTCGCTATGGCAACCACCAATCTGTTCTCTGTATCTGTGAGTTTGGCTTGGTTTATTTGTTGTTTAGATTGCACATATAAGTGAAACCATAGGGTATTTGTCTTTCTCTGACTTATTTCACTTCACATAACAACATCAAGGTCCATCCGTGTTGCAAATGGCAAGATCTCATTCTTTTTTATGGCCGAGTAATATTCCATTGTGTGTGTATGTATATATATATATTTTATCTGTTGATGGACACCGAGGTTGCTTCCATTATCTTGGCTACTGTAAATAATGCTGCAGCGAACCTAGGCATGCATGTATCTTTTCAAATTGGTATTTCTGTTTTCTTTGGATAAATACCCAGAAGTAGAATTGCTGGGTCACATGGTAGTTCTATTTTAATTAAAAGAAGGTGCTTTTACTAGCTGATTTTTATTAATTTCATCCAGTTCTGAAATCTTATGGTTCTGTAATGAATAGAAAAGTACCCTGTAGTCACTAATCGTTATGAAGACATACGATTCCAGCATCACCCTCTGTCTAAAATTATTTTGGAGGAAATAAGTACAGTCATATCCAGATATAATGACATTAAGTAACATCCTACTGTGGGATGACTTAGTAAACGGGAAATGACCTGACTGAATTAACCTAATAGTACAAGGGGGAGCAGATCTGAGTTCTGTACATTTTATCCTGTTGGTTATTAATATTCAGAGGAATAAACTGTCCATTGTTTGACGATATGATGGCCAGCAGTGCTACTTGAAATTCTTAGGGAGGGAGAATGGTACAGAATTCAGAAAGTGATTAAAACCAAATGGGGTTGGGGCGCCTGGGTGGCTCAGTCATTAAGCGTCTGCCTTCGGCTCAGGTCATGATCCCAGGGTCCTAGGATTGAGCCCCGCATTGGGCTCCCTGCTGAGCAACGAGCTTGCTTCTCCCTCTCCCACTCCCCCTGCTTGTATTCCGTCTCTCTCTGTCTCTGTCTGTCAAATAAATAAAGATTAAAAAAAAAAAAAATGGGGCTGAGGAAGCCTGAATTCTCATCCTAGCTCAGCTATTAGATACAGTCTCCCTATGTTGGACCCTAGTTATGGCCTAAGCCGAGGACATCCAAACTCTCTTAGGTTGTCTCAACAAGCCCAGCCCCCTGGGCTGCCTACGGTTTCTTGGTCTAAGGTGTTCCTCTCCTGTTACTGTCCAGGTTCCAGCCCCAAGCACACCAATCTGCCTTCCTCTTTGGGACTGTGTGCAAATGCCTCTCACTGCCCACGTTGATTCTTTTCTTTCTCAACTCCCTCAATAAGATTCTAGAATCTCCTCTTACAGTCATCCCAGACTCTCTGGCTGCCACCCCCCTCCTGCCAGACCCTCACAATCATTAAACCCCAATCAGGTCACCCATAAGGACCCTGGTTCTGGTCTCCTACTCTACCCCTCTTTTGGAGGATGCACACAGAAGTTACTTTGTTCCTCAGTGTCACCAGCAGAGCTAAGCAACGCCAAGAAGTATTAGTGGGCCCAAAACTTCTGCCAAGAAAAGGAAAAACACGGGGGGGG